GAAAGCCGCCTTAAAACCGAAGTGCCGGCAAAGTCGTCACAGCAGCGCGGGGACAGGCAGCAGGAGGTGCTGGGCTCTGGCGTCGGCGAGGCCTCACTGGAGGCTGCGGAACTGAACCTGCAGGACGCACTGGGGGATGAGGAGCGGTTTCCCTAGCCTCCGTCGTCTCCACATCATTTAACGTGCAGATCTTTAAGTGTATACGTACATCCTTATGGTGTAATGCCTTTTTGCACAGGCAGAGTTTTATGCCTGTGAAGAGTATGCATACTATTATCTTGCAAGGAAAGGAGTATTTTTTTATCAATAGAAAATGGTGTAGCATTATTATTTTCCATGCAACGTGTGAGTTTGGATTTGAATAATATTAAGTTAGGGGCACAATTAACAGACCTAACAGTCTATCATGGTGCTTGTATGTTCTTCGCTGTTTAAAGATGTTAAACACTTTGCACTCGATACCTCAAAGTTGGAAGGAAGGTTTCACTAAGAACTTTGGCTTGTTTGATTACTTAGACCACGGGACTCACTTTGAGAAACCTGGTCTATTGGAAGCTGATGGGGCCCATCTGTTAGAGAAGGGGAAGAGCATCTTCAGTCATAGGCTTGCCAAGCTGGTGAAGAGGGCTTTAAACTAAAGTTGCTGGGAGAGGGGAACCTCAATCCATCCCACTCCTACCAGTTTGATGCCAGTGCCAGCAATAGATGCCCAGAGCCAGGAGAAGGATCACAGATCAGCAAGAGAGCACCTGAAGTACAGCGCAGAGGAATTCCAGCTACTGTAGCCAGCCAGCCAGCTTCATTGGGGGCCCAACTTAAATGCCTGTATGCAAACACACATAATGTGGGGAATAAACAAGGAGTTAGAGATGTGTGTACACATGCAGAGCTATGACCTTATTGGCATCACAGAGATGTGGTAGGATGGCTCCTATGACTGGAGTGTTGGAATGGAAGGATACAGGCAGGGGAGACAAGGAGGAAATGTCTCCCTTTATGTCAGTGACCAGGTGGAGTGCATGGAGCTCTGCCTGGGAACGGATGAGGAGCTGACTGAGAGCTTATGGGTCAGGATTAAAGGGCGTGCAGGGACAGGGGACATTATAGTGGGGGTCTGCTACAGGCTACCTGACCAGGGAGACAGAGGGGATGAGGCCTTCTATGGACAGATAGGAACAGCCTCACGTTCACAAGCCCTGCCTTCATGGGGGACTTCAGTGACCCTTATGTCAGTTGGAGGGACAACACAGCAGGACATAGGCAATCCAGGACGTTCCTGGAATGCATTGATGATAACTTTCTCCTCCAAGTGATGGAGGAGCCAACGAGGAGACGTGCTATGCTGGACCTTCTTCTCACCAACAGGGAGGGGCTGGTGGGGAATGTGAAGCTCAAGTGCAGCCTCAGCTGCAGTGAATGTGAAATGGTGGAGTTCAAGATCCTTAGGGCAGCAAGGAGGGTCCACAGCAAGCTCACTACCCTGGACTTCAGGAGAGCGGACTTTGGCCTCTTCAGGGACCTGATTAGTAGAGTAGATGGGACAAAGCCCCGGAGGGAAGAGGGACCCAAGAAAGCTGGTTAGTATTCAAGGATCACCTCATCCAAGCTCAGGAGTGATGCATCTCAACAAAGAGGAAGTCAGGCAAAAACACCAGGATGCCTGCATGGATGAACAAGGAGCTCCTGGGCAAAGTCAAACACAGGAAGCCTACAGAGGGTGGAAGCAAGGGCAGGTAGCCTGGGAGGATTATGGAGAAATTGTCTGAGCAGCCAGGGATCAGGTTAGGAAAGCAAAAGCCCTGATAGAATTAAATCTGGCCAGGGACATCAAGGGCAACAAGAAAAGCTTCTGTAGGTAACATCTTTGATAAAAGGAAGATAAGGGAAAATGTCGGCCTTCTCCAGAAGGAAGTGGGTGACCTGTTTACCTGGGATATGGAGAAGGCTGAGGTACCCAATAACTTTTTTGCCTTAGTCTTCACCAGCAAGTGCTCTAGCCACACCGTTCAAGTTGCAGAAGGCAAAGGCAAGGACTGAGAAAATGAAGAAACACCCACTGTAGGGGAAGATCAGGTTCGAGACCATCTAACAAACCTGAAGGTGCACAAGTCCATGGGACCTGATGAGATGTGTCCATGGGACCTGATGAGATGCATCCATGGGTCCTGAGGGAACTGGCAGATGAAGTTGCTAAGCCACTCTCTGTCGTATTTGAGAAGTTGTGGCAGTCCAATGAAGTTTCCACTGACTGGAAAAGGGGAAACTTAACCCCCATTTTTAAAAAGGCAAAAAAGGAAGACGCAAGAAATTACAGGCCGATCAGTCTCACCTCTGTGCCCAGCAAGATCATGGAACAGATCCTTCTGGAAACTATGCTCAGGCACATGGAAAACAAGGAGGTGATTGGTGACAGCCAACATGGCTTCACTAAGAGCAAATTGTGCCTGACAAATTTGGTGGCCTTCAACAACAGGGTTATGGCATTGGTGGATAAGGGAAGAGCAACTGATTTCATCTACCTGGACTGGTGCAAAGCATTTGACACTGTCCTGCACAAATTCCTTGTGTCTAAATTGGAGAGACATGGGCTTGATGGATGGACCACTCGCTGGTTAAGGAATTGGCTGGTTGCACTCAAAGCGTTGTGGCCAACAGCTTGATGTCCAAGTAGAGACCAGTGATCAGTGGGGTTCCTTAGGGGTTGGTATTGGGGGGCAGTAGCCCTCTAAGGAAAACATGAGGCCGGAAGTTCTCAATCTTTCAAAGTTTTGGTCTATCTAGAAGAGATGTGTCTGTTTTCTCTTAAGTTAGACATGTTTCACATTGCTTAAGAACATAAAAGCAATTGTAGTAGGTCAGATGAAAACCCAGCATCCTGTGTCTAAAAGCCATCAGCTGCAGGATGAACTAAGATTTACAGGGTAAGCATGTAGTGATACTTTCTCAGAATGTTTTTAATGATTTTCAGCCCACGACCTGATTAGCCATTAGGTGGTTGTCTTTGCATCTGACAGCCCATGGTATATTTTTATTTCCCCCCCTTTAATTTGTTCTGTTGTTATTTGGGGGCCACATCAGCTTTAGGGATCTACAGCATCCTGCAGCAAGCTGTTCCACAAGTTAACTGGGGCTTGCAGGGGGCAGGGAGTGAAGGAGAGGAGAAGACGACTTCCTTTTTTTGTGTTGAACCAGCTACCTTCTGGTTTCAATCTGGTACCTCTTGGTTTCCGTGCTTGACCAGGTAGGAGACTCCTGTTCACCTATTCTGTGCCAGTCATGGATTTTATAGATGATACCTTCCCTATAGTCTTCTCGTCCTTACCTTGAAGATTATGGCATAAAATCTCAAAATCCTTTGTTCTGTGAGCTGCTGGACCGTAGGTAGCCTGTGTGCTGCAATCTAAACCATTGGATTAGCCAGTTAATACCAAAAAGGGTTCTGTTTGAGGTTTTTAAATAGATTGTCAATTTACTGTATAACTGAGAAGATAACTTTTTTTTTTTTTTCTTTTTAAGAACATGAAAGTGACGATGATTCCTACGAAGTGTTGGATTTAACAGAATATGCACGGCGTCACCATTGGTGGAATCGTGTGTTTGGCCGGAACTCAGGACCAATTGTAGAAAAATATTCCGTAGCTACCCAGATTGTGATGGGCGGTGTGACCGGCTGGTGAGGGAGCATCACTTTTCATAACTGCTAGACCATTTACTGTTCTTAGAATATCCCTTTCCAAGGCTATTTGAAGCAGATAGATGTATCTTCTTTAATGGGATTTCTTTTATAATTGATCAAGATTATTCATGCATGACCAATTTCTTAACTCATTACTCTGACTCATCATTCTAAAGTGTTTTGTAGTATTGGTAAAGCACCAGTTAGCTAAGGGAACTTCTACCAGTTATCCTGAAAAGGATTTGGGGAAATGTCAGATCTCTAAAAGTTTGAGGAATAAGTGGAAAATTACCACACATAACTTTTGTTTGTATAGACGAAGCATATTTCCTTACTATCATAGATTTGGAAACCTAGTGATGATATTATGGCTAAGACATATTTTATAGGTAAAAGAAATGAAGAAAAAAAAAGTGTGGCAGAATATACTCAATTAAGAGTCCCATTTTATAGAGACTTTTTTTCTTCTAAATTCAGCTGGAGCCATTTTGAACAAATTAACGGTTTGCTCTCATGTTAACTGAAGAGAGATACGACAGCATAGTTATGCTAAAATAATTCAGGTGAAAGCTGGACAGTAAAGATGAGAACTTAAACTGGAAAATGTGGCCACAGTCTTAGCAGCTATGTTAAGGTATTTGTTATTTGTCAAAGTGATTTGAATGGTATTTGTCTGTTCCAAAATTTAAGTTCAGTGAAAAACAACATTATGGTAGCACAGTAACTTTTAAAACAGAATTATGCAAGATTTGGAAGATGAAATAGACTAAAAATGAAATTGTCGTGTCCAGGCTTAGTACTGCTTTGAGGAAGGTAGGCTTAGCTTTCAGTCTGATTGTTTTTATTTGCCTTTGTAACCTTAAAATTATTTTTTAAAGTTAGATGTGTATACAGTAAACTCTGAAGCTTCTAGGGAATAGTTCATCTGGCATCTGTAAAAAGTGGCTTATTGAAAGATCTGGAAACTGTATATTTCAGTATCTATAGATATGTATTCCTCTGTGTGTATATTCATGTATATAAATATGAATTCACTATTCATGGGGGGGGGGGAAATTTCCCTCTGTGTGTGGGCTGGCAGGGGGCAGGACAAATACCAGCAGAGTTGCCCAGAGAAGTTATGGAACCATCAGCCTTGGAAACATTCAACACTTGCCTGAGTTAGAACCCTGAGCAACCTGATTTAGCTTGGAGGTTGGATTGGACTTCGCAGCTGGCCCAGTTTCGGGAAGCTGGCTGGAGTAGATGACCTCCAGAGGTCCCTTCTTATCCAGATTATTCTACGGTATCGATATCTGTGCTGTTCTCTATTTGATGTGGGACTGTTTGGAGACTGTGAACAAGATAATTAATTTTCTGGTTGCTTTGATCCATTAAAAATAGACTAAGGCCATGTCCCAGTAGAGGGGGCCCCACTGATTTTAACTCTTGTGGTGGGGATGTCATTTCTTTTTACTTGAGATATTTAAGTTATGGGTTGTGTAGTTAATATAAATGATGGTATAAAAATATTTACCTTCCATTTGGGAACAGTTATAATGGCACTTTTATATTATTACATTGTGCTTTACTAACATGCTACATTTAATAGCAGCACACAGCTTTTGTGTCTAGACAGGGTCTGGAGGTCTCAAGCTTACTTTAAAGGGGCCATGAGACAGCCATGAACTAGCAACCGTTACTCATGTTGTCTTGTGTTAAACATTATTAATTAAATATTGTTTGCATTAAATAGTCTAATTTTAAAAATACAAAATGATACATTTGCTTTATTAAACGAAAAAAATAGAAATAGTTGTAGTCAGGAATTGGAGCGTGGTATTGTTAAGCAGACAACTTCATTGGACTGGGTTTTTTTTTTTTTGTTTTGTTCTCCTAAGGTGTGCGGGATTTTTGTTCCAGAAAGTCGGAAAGCTTGCAGCAACTGCAGTAGGTGGTGGCTTTCTTCTGCTTCAAGTATGTAGCATTTCATGCTTTATAAGTTGGCAAATGTTATTTACTAAACAATAGGAAAAACACAGCTGTTGGGTAAAATTTAATTAGGAAGGCTTCTTATCTGCTTCATCTTTTTAGTCTTATCAGTCAAAACCTTACATTTCAGCTGGAATATTGTGTACAAAATACATTTCTAAAAATCACTGGTAAATCAGAATCTGCTCTATCCTGTAATATAGTTTGTAGGAAGCCAAAAGAAAACCTCTGTGCAGAAACTGAGACGCTGTATGTAATTCAGTATTGCCCAATTAGAGGATCTGCCTGTAAACCTATGGTTAGGGAGGTCGAGGGATTTAAGCTGTGTTTATTTTAAACAGGTTTGAGAATTTTATCAGTGTTTTAGAAGAAGTAGGCTTCTTTAGCAGTTGCTTGGAATGCTTGCTCTGGTCCCATTATGAAGCCATGTTTTTCCTCTTTTCTCCCCATGCTGTATTTACTAATCATATCTGTTGAACCTCTGAAGCTTTGCTGATTTCCAATAGCTTCATTGCATTCCTCTGTTCAATTTGATTTCAAGTCCAAAATTTTTTAATGATGTTATCTGGCATGATCATTTGCATTTTTCATCAGATACTGTGGTTAGGGGAGGACGTACTTCAAAAAAGCCTTCAAATTAGATGACGAAACTTTAAGTGAAGGAGAATTTCACATATCCTGCTGTAATATGCCAAGTAAGTCTTAAAATATGAAAAATGCCAGGAAAAAAAATTGATACCCGAGAGTTTGTCATTTTACCTCAGATCAGTCTAGAGGAAATAGGCTGGTGCCTACTGAGGTTCAATAACATACTTTTTTTTGAGATAGGATGTTAACTATGTATTTATTTAGTTTATTCTTTCCATCATCACCCTGGAGGATTTCCGAGAGGCATGTCCTGCCTTTAGTTATTCCTTTGATTGTAATGGCTGTTGCAGTCAACTATTGATCAGGAAGGCTTGGGCAGTACCTTTGATTGCTGCTGTGTAATGCATCAAAATGGCACAGTTGTGTGAAGTACTCTTCCTTCATGATTATGTTCTCTACTGGTTTTGGTTTCTTAAACCCCTCACTAAACATATAACTGAACTGCAGCACTCTACATGAGAATGTATACTCTTGAAACTATTTGGTTTAAGTTGTTTTCAACAAATACAGAGTGTATTTTATTTTGAGTTACTCCAAAACAAGCATGAACAACAATGTAAAAAGTCAAAGAGAAATAGTTTTGATATGAAGCTTTATAGTATTAGCATTCACTCCACCATTGTGCGTTGATGACCTTTTTAAATCTCCTGGAAATCACTGGTTATTGGGCTTGTACCTAAACACAGGGATGAATTTTACAAGGGTGTTGAATCTGAAGTTATTTAGAATCATCTAGATGTAAATTTTTGGAAAAATGTGCCATGCCAGCAAATGAATCAATTTGATGGAGTACTCCGGACTTCTTTAGGCCATAATGTGTATTTCTGGATCATGAGAGAATAATTAAATCTTTAAAAATTATATAAATATATATTTATATATCTGCAGTGGATCTTGAAGCCCTCAACATCCTTTTCATCTAGTTGACTTAAAAATCTGAATCTATCTTCTCATGTTGTATGCCGTTGATCTTAATTCTTTTAATGACAATTCTTATCTAAACATGACTGAAGAGCCTACAGAGCAGAGGCCTGGCATCCAGGGGTAGCACGGAGAACGTTGCCTGTAGATGCCTTCATTACTACTTCTGACTACAGGAAGCTGAAAAGTTAAAACTAAGACTTAGAGACAAAGGAAAATAGAAATTGCTTAAAACACATGACTTGTGCAGTATTTTTGCTTGTTGAGCTGTGAAGTTTGAGGAGACTTCCTGTACATAAAATAGATTTGCCATGTGTTTGAGTGTCTGATTTCTTAGTTGATCTCATTTACAGTATATTTGAAAAGGAATATTATCCAACAGGAAAAATGAGTTGCATATTTTGATTGTGTTGTCTGTATCTTTAATTAAGTAAGATCAAATTCTCTTGGAAGGGAATGAAGTAAATGCCTTGGTCTTTCATTTTAATTCAAAATGTTTTGCATTTTAAAGCTGAGTCATAAATTCTATAGTGTAATTACATTTCTGTAGTCTTTAATTTTTTCATTTAAAGATCACACATCGTGATTTTAATTTCCCTATGAATACATGTTCAGTGCTTCCCCTGAGTGGGCAGAGGAGCGTTTCAGCACATGACTAGAAACTTCCTTTTTATCTGTAAATTTCTCTGAAGTTGCAGATTTCATTTCAACTGCTGATTGCAATATTGACGTTGTAATTACCTGCTAAAACAAGAACTACAGAAGGCAAGATTCTTGGCTAGAGCCCATTCAGTGAAACATTTCAGTCCCGAAATTGAACAAATGCATTTTTCCTTTAGCGTGTGATGACTCCATCTCAAGAAATCTAGTAGGAAACTGAAAGCAATACATTTTTTTGAGAGTCAGTTTGTACAAGAAGCAAAAAAGATTTTTCAGATTTTTGTAAGTGATCTAGAGGCTTCTCAGTCTTAAACAGATGAAATGAAAAGTAGTCTGAGGAAGAGAATAAAAATTACATTAAGGAATTAGTATAGTTTATAAAAATTAAAGATGTATTAGCACATCTTTGTGCTGGATATTTCAGCAGCTTAATTTGATCAATTAACCATCTATTTCAATAAAAAGGATATAGTTCTTCAAATATGTAGGTATAAGACCAATACCCATGCGCTGTATTAAGGAAAATATAATTAATTTCTCATAACAAGTAAGGGATTTTCCTTGTATAACTTATAGTTTATACAGCACAGTTGAGTGAAATCCTGAAGAAAGTGAAGTATGAACTCATGTCGTTCTGCTATAATGGATTAGTTAAAAACAGTTGTTCTTCATGAGTGCCTAGTCTCGGTGTGTTTTTGAACTTCTGTATCCTTAATGATTTCATTGCTTTTTGCTCTGCAGTAAGCATACAAATTGCAGGTTTTTCCACTGTGTGTTGACTTTTATTTAATCATAAAATTGTATTTTTGTTCAGTTATTTGTGTTATCATTAATATATTTTGCTTCGTCCCATTAATACGCCATTGATGAATTCAGTTCTTCATTAGATTATTTTCTAACTTAAGAAAAGTAAATCTTTAAAAACAATACAAGAAGCAAAGTAAATGCTAAGATATCCTCAGCTATATATTGTATGGGGATTTGTTGATACCATGCCATGATGATGTTGTGGCATCTTAGTGAGGTGGGTAGAGAACAATGTGCTACTGGGGATGGGGACTTAATAAGAAAGAGTTGTATTCAGTTTTTCATTGAATATCCCACTTGACAGTTGATGTGTGCAGATTTTGAGGGAACATTCAGTGGAATAGCCAAAGCAAATGGTAGAAATACCATATTTCTGGCAGGTTTTGACATGAAATCGAGGGGCATTGTTTCTCTGCCTTTGTAAATTGGAGTAGTTTCACTGATTACAATGGAGCTGTGCCAGCAGATGATGGCTGAAGATACAGCCCCTGCAGTTTAACTCTTAAAAAAAAAGGTTCTATCATTTCTCAGCCCCTCCTTGTCTCTATATTGAAGTTAGAGACTTGTCAGATCTGTTCTGGAAACTGGTTGAGTGTGATGAGGGTTGCTACCTATCTAAATACCAGAAAATACCTAGAAGTATACATGGCTTCTGTATGCTGCGCAAGCAGCTGAGCATGGGAGCTCACGTGTACCTTCTGGGCTTGGTTGGGCTTTTTTCGTATGAGAGATTTTGTCTTTGAGGATATTAAAACTCTTTTGTCCTGTCTTGCTATATAAATTTTTTGCTCTTAAACATTTTTTACTCATTACTCATAATGTTTCACAATAATGAAGTACTTGCGTTTCTCTCCAGTATTGCCCCCAAAATGAGGTCTTCCCTTTTAGATTCTCTGTTTTCTTTGATCAGTGTAGAGAAAGATGCACATATTTTTAGTATTCCTGCATTGATGTATTTTTTCAATTGCCTTTTTGGGAAAAAATCCATTATTTTTTCAACAGTTCTGGAAGATCTTGAACAAAAATAGATTTTACTAATGAGGTATATGAGAGAGAGATATGTATATTATATATTATTCCATTGTCATATATACATATATAGATTTTCTGTATCTACAGAAATCAACACCCACCCCCATATGTCTCTTTAAGAATATATATATGTATAGACTTATATGACTCCTTAATATATATAGAAGTGTGGAAATGATAATGGAATATTATTTTAGTTTGTTATTGAAAGGGCTGGGTTTAAAAATACTAGCGAACTGTAAGAATTTATGTTTATGTAAATTTACTGTTGAAAGGGAACAGAGTTTTTTATGGTATATTAGGGTCTAAAAACTCTCACCACTGTTTGAGTTCAGTGGGGTTATTTCTGCGCTTACATACAAAGTTATATAACTATTAGGATTTCAGCCAACGTAGATATGACACAGGCTCTGACTAACACTGCAGTGAAGTACAAGTGTTTTTTCTTCTAGGTTATAAATTTTTATATTCAAAACATTGTCTGCTGTAGCTTATTTCATAAATGTTACAAACACTCAAAAGCAGAACTTACGATCTCTGCTACTAAGTTCAGGGAGAAAAGTAGTATAATTTTTATTTGTGTAAGCTTGAGTTTTGATACAAATATAAGTTGTAACTACTGGAGGGCTAAACAGAACTGAATTAGAAACTTCTTCCTCATCTTTGTACTGTATGGATAACTGACCTAATTAAGCTAGTCTTAATGAAACATTTATTTGAAAGTCCATTTCCTCATATTTTTTTTTTTTTTACAAGCAAGCAAATATATTAGTGTTTCTTACATTGTGTTGGACTGGGTACATCAGTCCATATTTAGTTTTCAGTTCTACGAGTGAGAAGGCACCAATTCAGTGCTCAGGCCTTTTTGAAATTCTTGTGGTAATGTTAAATTAGTACAATAAAAATTACCCCAGTGCGTAACGGTTTTTTTTTTCCTGGTATGTCATCCAGTGACTGGATGTGCAACCAGTACATCTTTAAAACTGGTTTCATGTTTTCATACTGTATAGACAGTCCTTAATTAGCTATCCCTGCCTAACACTAATACCCGTGTGGATAAGTGTTTTTACAATAGGCAGGCAAGGTCAATGAATTTGTTATATTCTGAGGTATGAAGAAAAGGAGGGTATAGTATTTAGTAAATTCATTTTGCATTTGTCCAGTGAATTGTTTTTTAAAATCTTGTGCAGAGATGGAAACTGAAGTTTACTTTCTTATAGAGGTGGTCTTTTAGGAGCTTCATTTTGAATTCAGACAATGATGTGAAACATTTCCTTTTATGTCAAACCTAAGAAATTGTATATTTAAATATCTGTTCCACAAAAGTTCATTATCTGTGACTTTTATTTACGAGTTGTACTGTTTGCGTAGAACGCTGTTACGTAAGTTATATGAATTTGCCAAACAAGACCTTAAGAAGGACCTGAGAAATCTCAGTCTTCATAACGCATTTTTGGTGTAAGTTATTTGCCTGTAAAGTTAGTGGTCTTATAGCTGTTTGTATTAGCAGTTAAAATAAGCAGTAATCCTTAGTTTTAATTTATCCCCCCCCCCCTTTTTTTTCTAGCTAATGAGTTGTTCTGCTGTTCTCTAGAGCATGGAGTAATTGCCTGTTTGGTTTTTTTTTCTTTTTTTAAAGCTATGATCTTATAAACATTTAAATAAGTATTTCTTTTGTGAATTGTCTTAAGGAAATTGGTGGGACTGTCAGTGTTGGTCAAATAACAGAACATCTTACTTTTTTGCAGGATCAAATCTTAGTAAGAGAAATAAGGCAAAGGGTTGGGATGATGGTTAAACATGCTAAAAATGCCATGGATGTTGGTTAAGCGTTTTGGGAGTTTGAGTGTAAATTGGTGTGAACAATCCCCCAAAACTTACCCATTTTGTTGACATTACAGAATTCGTGCTGTACACAGGTCATGTTGTTTTTCTACTTTCTGGTTTTGTTTTGTAGAAAATACAACAATTCTCTCGTATCAAATACTTTTTTGTTGGACAGTTTAAATGTTGTAGGATAAAATAATACTTTTCAGTATTTATAGGGATGATTCTGATTAGTCCCAGATATCTTGTCACAAATCAGAATTCCACAATTCTGAAAGAATCGGAAATGAAACAGTTTTTTTATTGTCCTATGAATGTGCTTTTCTCATTCCTTTTCTTACAAGTATAGTTACTGTAAATGCTGAAGGAAATATATTGGTTTTTAAAACTTGTATAACTAAACAATAGAGAAGTGGTAAAATTAACAATAGTCTGCTGAACTTTGGCATTGCTTGTTCTAATTTGAATTGCTGCTGTTGTGGAAAATACTAGTGTTTGAAGTAGACTACCTGTTGTAATTAGAACAATGTATTTTCCTATATCTGTAATTAAAAAAGAATTAAGAAGAAACTGTAGGCGCTAAGATACTGTATTTTGACTCACAAAATGTTAACGACAACTGTACTAAATACTCTTTATTTTCCTAGATCGCTAGTCATAGCGGATATGTACAAGTTGACTGGAAGAGAGTTGAAAAAGATGTAAACAAAGCAAAAAAACAGTTAAAAAAGCGTGCAAATAAGGCAGCACCTGAAATCAATACTCTAATTGAAGAGGTAAGTCCAAGGTGATAAACTGTTTTCTACCAGCCAGTTTTTCTTACCTTCCACTGGAGGTGATGATTAGTTGAAAATGCAGGTGCAAAACTGGAAGGCATCAGGAAGGTCTGGCTGTATATGTTATTAAAAGCTAGCAGATTGTACTCTCTCTTATTCCTTTAGCTTTCTATTTTGTTTACTCTTAAAGATGACACACACAAGTCAAAGTTAACGCGTTTCTATAGCTGATAACAGTTTAGGGACTGCCATTGGCTTTGCCATTTAGTCTGTGCAGATTCTTGGCTAGTGAGAAAGCCAGTAAGGTCATGACGTGGAAAAAAGTTGAGAGTGTTGTGCTTAAAACATGGCAGCTACAAAGACAAAACCCAGATCATCTTAGTCTGCTGATAACAAAATTATTTGGTTGGAAAAGACTGACCTTTCTTTCTGGAGAAAAGCTATAACTACTTTGTAACTAGGGTTGTGGTTTTTATTTCATTTTTATACAGTTCGAAGAATATCTGTCTTCAGAATCTGTCAGTTACAAACTATGTTGAAAAGAGGTAGCCTGTGATACTCATCAGTGTTACTGGGGCTATTTCCTTCTGTCATTTGAGAACTTATTGAATCGTTTTTTCAACATTTTAAAAAAAAAAAGTTTAGCCTGTTTTTACATATTTTCACATTTCATACAGGCGATCTAAGCTTGTTTCTCAATAACTCTGAATCCTGACTTGGAATATGTTGGAGACAATGTAACAGCAGCCACACTAGCGCTCTGTGATTAGGAATTTTGACATCTTGGATTTAACCTGTATGGAGTTGCACATAGGTTGATAAAAATTACCTTAAATTCTAATGTGAATGTGAAGTTGAAGGTCAAGAGAAGTGGTTTTCTAGCTTCTTCTATACCCCAAATAGCTTAAGCTGGCTTTCTCCATCACCCTGCAGAAATTGGTGGGGCAGAATAGGGTTTTTGGTTGTTTCCTTTTTTTTCTTTTTTTTTTTTTTCCCCTCAGATTATATTACTTTGGCTACTAGTGCACAATTAGAAGAATCTGAAGTGTTTGAAGTGAGGGATTTATGAAATGGCACCCGTTTGATATAACATGTTGTACTCTGTGCTGTTACTTCATGAAATACTGTACACAGATGTCATCATCCACAAGTGGTTTTGGTAGGATTAAGTTGTTAGGAAACTGGCTCATAATGGAGTGAAGTGTATTTCTTTTCCAATGATCTAGACTTCCAAAAAACCAGTATTTTTTAAACTTTTTTCATGTGATTAAAATCGAAGTGATGGTGGTGCTCATGTTTTCTTGCCAAGGAAGTTTGTAAAACATCTGTCTTGTTTTAGTCAAAACAAGAATGGTATTGGCATGAAATTGCTATGACAGTTCCCCTGTATTTTGCCTTTTAAAATGCTAACCTTATTTTAAATATATTGTTAAAGACAGCCAAGTGTCAGTTTTCGCTCCATTGGTGCCTGCACTTGCCACTTAGCTTTATATGTTTTTAAACACGTTGCTTCCTCCTGCACCCCCTTCCATGATTTTAGTTTTTTCTTTCCAGGCAATTGCGATAAATATTTTAATACAATCAGACACAATTAACTCAGTTCTTTACTAATATTATTTTTCTTCTCAGTCAACAGAATTTATCAAACAGAACATTGTGGTGTCCAGTGGATTTGTTGGAGGCTTTTTGTTGGGCTTGGCATCATAAGGACCCGAGTTATCTCTTCCTGATGACATTCATGTCGGCAAAGAACAGTTGTTGCGACACGCTGTCTTAAAGCAGTGTGGGTCACTGGACCTTGCAGAGCAAGATGAGTGGACTAGCTAGGCAACTTGGAAGCTTTCACATTTCAGGCTTTTGCCTCTTGAAGCTTGGCAAAACTAGGATTTGCTGAAAAACTGTGCAGTGTGCTCATTATAGCATTTCTGGGCAAAACTGGTTCATCTTCATCATGACTCTTTTTATCTATGACCTTTCAAGATCTAGCATTTTTTAAAATGTTATTCTTGGAATATAGATACGTAACCATACTGTAAGAAAGAAAGCTCCATTTTTATCTTTTCAGTTAAATATTGTTTGTTTCAGAAGTATTTTTCTTCATGCTGTAGTAGATCATATCAGTGACTACATAATGTATATGATATTGTAGTTTCAGCCTCATGGCTGTCCATGTTCTTTAGAAGTCACTGCAATAATCTATCAATCTGTAATACCTTTTTACAGAGTATTAAATAACAAAGAATCGTGAGCTTATTAAAGGTGAAAATTAACTTTGACTCTGGTCTTTGTGTACATAGAAAATAAGAAAGTCTCATGTTTATAGTCTGCAGGTATCTGGTACAAATATTTGCAGAGATACTTGCGATATTTGTGTGCTAAGTAAATGTCTGTATGTTATTTTGCCCAGAGGTGTAGACAGGCGTAAACTCACAGATAAAACTGTAGTACACAGATAAGTGCTGCAGACTCCATAATGATCTGATGCTTAATTGTTTTACACTCAGTAAACCACAGAGGTCGTTTCAGACTTCACTAGTTGGCGAGATGACGAGATGAGGCTTCTGCGGGAGCACTTTGCAAGGGCCAGTACTTTGTAGGGCTTGATAGGATGTCAGTACAACGTGCCTGGGATGAGCTGCTGCTCTTGCAGATGCGTTTGCTGCCTCTGCCTTTGACAGATCAAAGCAGGAAGCAGGTTTTAAAGGAAACTGGAGGCTTAACTGTGGATGGGCTGGAAAATTTATTCTCAAGTAGGTTTTTAAGGTGGTTTTGTTAATAGGTTATTCTAAAGAAGCTGAGAATCCAAACAATGCTTAATGCGTTTTTCTGCATTTTAAACTTGTGAACCTTTTAGAAATTTCAGCCCAAGAAGAAGGACTGTTTGCTCTGCCCTGATGTCTCTGGTTTTTTACCTACCAGCAAGTTAATGTGAAATGGAGTCTTTCTCATGCAGGTTCTGTTAGGTTCACGTTCACGTGTCTAAACAACAGTGATTCATTAGTATCGGATGGGTGGATGTGAACTTCGGACGTACAGGATGTGGGATGAATGTCCATCAGCTGGGCTGTACGTGAAAGGCGTTTGACATAGTAACCTAGTATATATCTAGGTTAGTGCATCTGTGGACTTCTGAGGTCTGTATTATATGTTGACTTCATACGTGCATGCTTCTGGCCAAGGTAAATTACAAAGCACATCATGCATATCTGTGAGGTTTAAGGGTTTAGTTAAGCTAAAACCTGTTTAAGACTTTTGAAAGTAAAACTTAACCCCTCAAACCCAAAGAACATAAATGACCACAAATAACGTGTTAGCATCCAAAATATTTTGTTTTAAGGTGAATATCTAAAGCTACGTAAACACAATTGTTGCAGTTTATTGGAAATGGGAAGCCCAAGGAGGAATGTGCATGTTATCTGGGATTTAAAGAAATTTAAGAAAAATTAAAATGTTAAAACATGAAAGTTTCTTTGCCTTAGTGTTCGGTCCCAAGGATACTGGGAAGGTAACCAGTCAGCTCTCTGCTGATGAAGCTAATGGATTTTTGGCATGTCAGAAGAGTTGCTGAAGCCAACTGGTGTGAGTCACCTGCCCTGACCGGAATGAACTGGGATGTTCTGAATGGCTTTAGGAATGAAGTGACCGCCTCAGTAGCGTGAACCTATAAACTTGCATTTTTAAAAAGGGCCTACACTGTGAAAGGATTTCAAGGGACCGTCCTTTAGTGGGCTTGCTAAAAAGGGTACTCCTGACCAAGGAATATACTTTGTAGTTAAAAGTAGAATTAAAAAAACCAAAAAACTCCCCAACTTACAGAGTAGTATGCAAGGCTGATTTCTGCAGAGGAAAGTTGTTCTGCTATTCTGTTGCCATTATCCAAGATTCTCAGTAAGGCAATGAATAAAGAACTGATTGAATTCAATATATTGGAGGGTTTTATTATTATTTTATTTTTGAAGCCTTTAGAAGTGTAATGTTGTACACGTAAAACTGTCTGAGGGACAAAAAAGTAAGGAGAAATGGCATCACTGAAAAGGTGAAATCTGTTGGTTTGTGTTAGGATTGGCTTTACGTAATGCCCTCATGACTTGAGAAAAGGAATGACTGCTGGCACAGCAATACTTGCGCTAAGTTCTCTGGGACGGTTCCTTCAGTTGGTGAGGTAGAGGGGATGCTGCCAGGAACCACAGCTACAACTGATGGGGAGGAGATTTTGGAGTGGCAGACTGATAAACATAAAGTACTGAGACAAATAAATGCAGCTTTCCTTGCAAATAGCTGAGATTTTTTCTGTGTGTCAGCTCAGAACAATCTTGTGTATCACTGTACAGAAGGGAATGCTCTTGTAAAGTTACAGTCAGAAAAATGAATGTTGATGGGATTATTGAGAATGGAATGGAGCATAACAGAAATACTATGTTTCTGGTGGTTAAGTTCTTCTCTGGAACGATTTAAAAGTTGCTGTTTTCCTCCCTGATAAAAACTAAAGCAGGCTAAGAAGATTCAGAGAAGGGCAAAATAAAGATTGAAGAAAATTTTTTCTGAAGAGCATTTTTTGGGGGCAGGAGAGAGAACATAATTTTAAAAAGCAGATGATTAAGAAGGAAAGTGTTAGAAATATGTAAATTAATGAAAGGCTGAGCCAGCATTACTATGCTTTTTATCGTATAGTTGGAGAATTTACCTGAAAGGTGGAAAACCTGAACCTAGCTCAGGGAAACAGCTTTTTACATAATGCACAATAGGTCTGTGGAACTCATTTCTGCTACGTGCTAATGAACCCAAGGAACAGGCTCCACTCAGGGAATGATGGGGCAACGCTGAGGTAAATTGCAGGAGTGCTCAGTTATACCTAACGATGCAAGAAAAGCAACTCTAGGTTTCTCTGGCCCCAGCTAATGGTAAATGATAAAATGATTCTAGTGATCAGATCATCCTGCCTTTGCCTTCTGCAGGCTTGTGTATTTCTTTTTTCCCCTCAAACAGTTTTTAGCAGTCACTTTTCAAAATTGAATGCTAAGCTAAAAGATTGACTAAGGCATGCCATGTATCCCTCTGTAGTGAACAGCGGCTGAAAGTTTACCAAGCAATGAGTTTTGGGAGAGATTGCTAAGAAATCATCTATTTGTTTTGTATTATTTGTACCACGAGTGTGATCTTATTACTGAATTTCAAGAGGCCAGAATTTGGCTAAATCATTGAAGGCTGTTTCTGTTTTAGCAGCCAGACTGCAAATTAAAATGTTGTAGTTAAAGATACAGCTGCCTCCTAGATTCAAGTGCATTTGTCATGAGGTCTTAAGATGGGGGGATGCACACAGAGTAAAACGCAGAAGTCAACACTGTAATTCAAAATCGATGCCTGTGCAGATTTTGTAACGTACATAGCATAGTCATGTGAAGAAGCATCAGTAATACCTCCTCCTAACCTTTCAAAAAATGTTGGAAATCTCAAAGAATTACTTTAAAAATCAGACTTTTATAGCATGCAGCTGCCAGCATGGGGTCTGTAGGTCATAGTAGAAAAAGATAATGTTCACCCAAATTCAGCACAACTAGAACTTAGGTGACATTTTGGAAGGGAGATTGATCATAAAAAAAAAAGTGTGGGTTTTGGTTACCCTAGGACTGTGCTTGGGGCAGGTGGGTGGTGGGGGAGAAGGACTAGAATCAACTCTGCCAGGAGTAGGAGGTGTCATCCTCCCTTGTCTTTTGTGTTATAGTTCAAAAATTAGACAGGAACGACGAGCTTAAAGAGCTGTTTTTCCCTTGTCTGATCGGGAAGCAGGTCTGATGCAATGTGGTGATGTCCCAGTACTGAGACATATGGAAAAGTTGACATTTGTTATTTTGGGGCAATTTGGGAAACGAGTGGTGGGCTCTTAACTGCTGAGACAGCTGACATTCATCAGGACCTATAAGATCAAAAGCCAAGTTTAATCAAGATAATTGTGGGGTAAGTCTGCACAAAGCATCTAGTGCTGATCCAGTGCAGCCCAAACCCTTGATCCTGTTTGGCCTCACATTGAAGGGAAGAGGCCGTCTAAATCTTGGCGTGCCAAGGAACGTGATGCAGAGATGTAACAGCACTCGCATCCTGGACTGGAAACAGCACGGCTAACCCTGGCACAAGCAGTGCCATGCTTTAACTAAGACATCTGGCTGGACCCAAGCTGGCTCCAGTTCATAGCTTGGGTAAACCAGTTCAGTGGTAACAAATTTGCCTAGTTCATAGGTTCAGCACCCAGAGGTCCTCTGCTCACCCTCTTCTCTTATCCCCTGACCTCTGCGTGTTTCTACCTCCCTGCTTTTGTTTTGCCTGTCTTCTTTTTTTCACAGCTCCCTAGAATAAAGCACCACAGCAAACGCTATTGCTGTGAAAAAGAGGAAATGCAGTGCTTGGCAATGGGGTGAAATTGGGGAATAAAGCCCACAAGTCAAATCAGCTGTGGGACTTCCAGCCAGCCAATGCCTCTGGGTTAGAGAGCTCAGGGAAGCTGGAGACCACATTCAGTTACCTCTTCCTGGGAAACCTCTCCTGCTTCCTAGACCTGTACCCTACCTACCAAACCGTAAGGTATTTTGGCATGACATATCCTTGGTCTCTCCTGCTGACTCATTCTCTTGTGTGGATGTGCCTCAGCATTCATGGGAGTGAGGACAGAAACTTGAGTCCCATCTCCCCAAAGTTTACCTCAAGTCATTGCTAAATAATTAGATATGCTGCTTGAAGTGGAAATGGTCTAACAGGGGGAAAGGCAGGCAGGCAGGCAGGCTACACCCAGAGTATTTTCCTTCCTGTGTGGTAGGGTGCTTACCTGAGAACTGGAATATATTGTTATACATCTAATCCTTGATATAAGGGTTTTGGCTTCACCATCAAACCCCCACAAAATCAATTGGTCACAGCCTTAAACTGAAAAAAAAAGAAATCTCTG